TTTTTTTTTTTTTTTTTTTTTTTGAGACAGGGTTAGTTGAGACTGACCTGGTACTCAACTATACAGCCTGGGCTGGTCTCAAACTCACAGCAATCCTCCTATTTCAGCCTCCCAAGTTCTGGGATTAAAGGGATGCGCCACCATGCCCGGCTACTTCAGCTTTCTTTAAAAGACTCAGTAAATGTTTTCTGAAACCACAGAATACATATATTTTTATTTTGACCTAAATTTGTAAGTCCCAGTGTAAGTGTTGTTTCTGATGATAGATGTAAAATGAAATTTCATTTGTAATTGGGAAAAATCCAATAAAAAGAATATTCATATAGAAAATACCTAATACCTTTAATAAAAATTGATATGAAAATAAATAAATAATAAAAGGTGAGAATCACTCTCTGGACTGAGAAATAAGGAGTGAAAATATATTCATGTTTCTCTTCTTACTGTTACCCATAGGCAACTTACCAGCCAGTCCTTTTCCCTCTATCCTCCAGGTATTAAAAGCAAAGCTTCACATAGTGTTGATTAAATAGATGGAAACATAAGCTGAGAACTGGAGTGCAGTGACAAAATGACATCTTGGTAAACCCAAAAAAATGAATGGCCAGGCCGGAGATTTAGCTCAGTGGTGCTGCTGCCCTCCTGCCTCGCAAGCACAAAGTCTTGAGTTAGATCCCCAATACCAAAAAAAAAAGAGGAATGGCCAAGGTGCCAGGCAGTCAGGGCAAGCCAGATAAGTAGGGTATGTGGCATTATTGCAGGGGTAAGAAAATCAGTCTGTGCAAAAAGTAGAGTCTCAGTGTCGAGCTGGATTTTAAGCCCGAGAGGAGCTTCAAGTTCTCCCAAACTGGCAGCATGTCAACCTGATGATCTTGCGCTGAACTGAGCACAGATGACAAGTACCTCAGGTGGAGTAGGTTCCTGGGTGTCATCAACATTCAAACAATAGCTCTTAACAGTTTAATGTATCTAAAAATATAATTCATTAGGATGTTTATGATAGCATTTTTGTGACAGGGAAAAATCAGAAACGTCCTAGGAATCCATTGATGGGGAAGGTTGATTGCTTTTGTTTGTTATGTGGAACATCTCAGGATACATAAATTTTTTGTTGTTGTTGTTACCGGGGGTCGAACTCAGGTCCTTGTGCTTGTGAGGCAGGCGACAGAACCACTGAGCTAAATCCCCAGCCCCACATAAAAAATTTTATGTTGGTATAATTAATGCTGAGTAACAACCTAAAAATCTGAACCACTGAGCTAAATCCCCGGCCCCCGACCCCTTTATTTTTTATTTTGAGGCAGCCTCTCAGTCACTAAAACTAGGCTCAAACCTGCACCCCTTCTGCCATAATCTCCCCAAGTTCTGGAATGCAGGTATGTGCTGCCATTCCCAGCTAAAAGTAGGTACAAGTGAATAAACCTAAGAATTACATACGTCAGAAGACCAGAGACACAGAAAATTTTTTGAGTTTGGTGATGAGCTGTGGGAAAAAGCAATGCAGCCAGGGTAGCATAACTGAGGACAGCTAACTTTCATTTCTTAACCTGGATGATGGGTACACAAATGCTCACATAGGTACCTGTGTTCCTTTTAAGTATGTTTTCTAATTTGTAAGTTTGGTTTCTTGCATCTCAGGTGGTAGTAAAGTATATGGCAATGACCCCCTAGGCCTTCCTGTCTCTCAAACTGAGGAGACTTTCAATGCTTTTCACAACAGCCCAGTGTCACTTTAACTCTTTGCTCAGGTCATTCCTTCTTCCAGGAAAGCCACTTTTCCTCTGCTCTGCCGGACCAGGCCTCACCTGCTCTGTCGGACCATGCCTCACCTGCTCTGCCCAGCCTAGCTGATGGCCTGCCCTTCTCTTTCCAGTTCAGCCACAGGGATGCATTTTCTGAGATTTTTCCTAGCCCAATGATAGCCATATACACGTCCACCTCACCCAGGATGTTTCTAGGCACATAGCCTGTGATACGTGTACCACTGTCTTCTCTTTTTGTGAATATTATGTATCAAATTAGGTTGTGAGTTACCTGTAAAGGAATAGAGGAACTCAGAGTGAAGGATTTTTTGTGAAGTTTTTGGTTTGCTGCCCACTTCATGCCCTGCCAGAGTTGTTTTCTCCCTTTTCTTAGAAATATTGACAAGATGTGATATACCAGTTTTCTGCCTTAGGCTGGAGTATCAGAATCTTGGGGGTTAGTATAATTTACAAAATCACTCAAAAATACAGGGCTTCATCATGTTCAAAACCCAGGAACTGAATATATTTTTCTTCTTCTGATAACTTGGTATCCCTTATTCTCTGAGCTCAAAAACCAAATATATTCAAACAGTATAAAATATGCCTCATTTTGTAATATAAATTCAGATAAAAATCCTGATCAAATCTTCATAGTACCGGATGTGTTGGTACACACCTGTAATCTCAGCACTCAAGAGGCTGAGGCAAGAGGATCATCATGAGTTTGAGGCCAGCCTGGGCTATGTAGTGAGTTCAAGGCCAGTCTGAGCTACATAGCGAAACCATGTCTCCAAAGGGAGGAAAATCTTCATAGAAACAAATTGTCAGTCAGTGTCCTAAGGGATGTAAATGTCCATTTAGTAAAGGAGCCTTGTGAGGTTTAATGCCAGTTTTACAGATGAGGAAAACAGAAAGCTTAAATTTGCCTCCACAAATTCCTCCAGTACCTGGCTTATTTGAAGCTTTCAGGCAGTGATGGCTGCTATTAATTAGTTGGTGGGAATTGAGTAAGAGAACCTGAAGATGAGTTGAGCAACGACTCAGGTCTGCTTCCTCAGAAAAAGCCACCATCTTTGTGGTGTTTTTCATGCCTTGTTGCTGCTGCATCAGTGCTTGCCCAACTGCTTGCTGAAATATGCAATTAAAGAAAGAAAGGCTCTCTCCTTGAGTACCAGGAGATTGTAAAGTCTTGTTTGCCTTTTGTGCTCAACCAGAACAAGTGCATTTGGATTTCAGAGCTTTGGATATTCCAACCCTCAGCCTGTCTGGACACCACGAAATGTGGACTAAGTGGCCCTTGGTTTCTAAGGCAGTGCACAAACATTTATGAACCACACTGTGCACAGCTGTGAGTAATTGGCCTTCAAGGGAGATCATCTCCCATTGTCCAGAACCAAGGTGCTTCCCCTTGAATGGCAGTGTATCATGACGGGTAAAGATCTCCAGGAGCTTAGAATGGAGTCTGAGGTCTCACCTCCCCATCCACCTAGCAGAAGGTTTAATCCTTTCCGAATAACTTGGTTTCTCTTAGCCTTGTCTCCCTAGGCCACATCCCCTTCCCCAAATGTCTGGTTTTGGTTATGAGTACAATAAAGTCCCACATTGACCCCTATCATAGAATTACATGAAAGGATCTTTTTAAATACCCTGCCCAAGAGCTTCATCCCTCCAGATCTAGATAGAGAAGGAGCCTCCCAGAGCCCCATGAAGCATGAGAAGGTTCAGAGACTTAGAGTGAAAGGCTGCCGAGGTGGGACTTCATGGTTGAAGACAAATGGTTGGAACTTCAGTTCCGAGTGCAGCCCTGCCTGACAAGACCTGCTGCATCTCAGCAGTGGACCTAGAAACTCAAGAACAGCACCAGATCAGGCACTCAATGGCAAAGCCAGGGGACAGTATTAGGACAAGCTTAGAGTGACCCAAGGCAACCCTCTCCTTCACCATGAAGCCATAGGAGCCTCCCCTTTCTCACACTCCCAGATACCACCATGGCAGGATGAAAAGGAAAGGAAAGCAGATCTGAAAAATAGCTCTTAACTAAGACCAAGTTATCACTGAGATGATTTGAACCAAGGCAATTCAATAGGCAAGTCTAAGATTACCCTTCTCACACAGCAGAGCAAATGCTCATGAAAATGATGAGATTTTAGAAAGCAAAGAAGCTTCATGTCTGTCTGCCTCAGAAAGAGAAAATGCGGATCCCTGCTCTGAATTTTTGGGCTTTGAACTCTGGGGTAGATATATGAAATGTCCAAAGGCTGAAAATATAGTTCAGTGTAGTGCTCTTGCCTAACATTCCTGAGGCCCTTTGTTCAATCACCCACCCAGCAAAAAACAAAAAGAAAGAGAAAAGAAAAGAGAAGCGTCCAGTGACAGCCAACACTTTAGTGAAGCTGGACAACCCCAAAGCAAGTGGTAGAGCAGACAGGGGACTTTTGCAACAAGAGCAGTAATGACCCAGGGCAGGCTGCGAGCCCAAGGTTTAGAAGGAAAGAGGGCAAGACCCACAGAAGAGCAAGGAGGAAAACTCATAGACATGTGGGCTGTGGTTGCATGAGGGTGCAGGGACAAACCCATTTGGCTCATTAGGACTCTTGATTGCTAGTGAGAGAAAATCCAAACTGCATTAGGATGCTAGCTATTTCTTCTGCTATTGCAATAGCTAAATAGAAGTTTGTTTTTCTCTTAGTAGAAGCCACTAAGGCTGAAAGTTCGACTCCACAGTGTCACTGCCACCCTCATGATGCAGCCGTTAGCTCCCACCTCCACACCCATGATCCCACGAGTGGGAAGGGAAAGCAGAAGACACACAGCTTTCTGTGAAGTCAGAAACCAAAATTCGCACATATCACTTCTTCTTGCATCCATGGTCCACAACTTAATCCCCAGGGCATACCATAAGGCCCCAGTTAGCTGGGGCCACAGAGATGTTGTGAAATACTCAACCTTAAAATTAGGGTCAGACTGCAGTTCAGTATTTAGTCTTTATT